AGAAATGAAAACGTTTTCAATCTCAGACATAAATCATTTTTGAAAATACGTTTGGTAGTTTTATCAAGAGATTATTTTCAGTATGAAAAAACTCATTAATGTCTCTCTCTCTTTCTGTCTGCTCGAGAGGGGAGAAAACGAAAATAAAAAAAAAATGATTAAACAAAAAAATCGTTTTCATTTCCGTTTTTTGTCTTTAATTGTGCCAAACGCCGTTTTAAAATCGTTTTCATTTTTTCGTTCTCAAAAAACGTGAAAAACAAAAACACGAATAATTCCAAACACAGCATACACTTTTTGAATTTTTTGATATGATATGGTTCTATATATTCGTGGGCTACACACACTAACGTAAATTAGATAGGAATTTCTTTAATATGATCAGAAAAAATAAATTATCGTTAGTTTTCTATTTTTAGCCGTATTTAATAAGATTTTGACAAGATATAATAATAAAAAAACTAACTCCATTAATAAAGTGGACGTTTAGTTCATAGATTTAGAATCATGATTCAAAATTATTGTCGATTTACGTGTATTTTTTATGAGAAAAAATATTATAATAAATCATGAACCGTAATTTAAATTAGGATACGAATCTACCAACTAAACAACCCAAAAAAAAACTATTAAAGGAAGTCCTGAATTAGATTCAACGATGACAAACATATGCTACTAATAAGAGCTCCTACCGTAAAAGAACCGTCATGAAAAAGGCTTGAAATTGAACGTGGTATGTATTGCAGAGAGGGCACACTGTTTATCTTGTTGTTTCAACCATAAGGCCCCACCACTAGCCAGCTATAAGAAGCAAAGTATATAATGGAAGAGTCAAAATCACAGTGATTTAATTTGAAAGCAGAAAGAGTAATGGAAAAGTAACGCGTGGATTCTGGCAAACAACAAATTAAGCATCACGGAAGGAGTACAAGCTTCTGGTACTAGTTGCAAGAGAAAATTAAACGTTCCGTTCATTTCATCGATTTGAATTTTAAATTTTAAATTTTTATAATAAAATTTTTTAAAAAATATCACATCTAATTTTTTCTGTTACAGTGAAATTTTTTAAAAAATTATCACATCTCAATTTAAATTAAAAACTTAAATCTACGAATTAAACGAGGCGTTGAATATAGGATCTTGAATATTAAAGCACCGACAACAGTAAAATTAGGACACAATTATATTAATGGGTTAGTGCGAGACTAATGTTGACACTTTTTGTTGGCCATCGTTATTTGCTATTTTCTGAGGTCCCACTTAGTTTCTTATTGATTTCTAAAATTTTTTTTCCCTTGTTTGTACTGCCTATAGAACTAATTAATACGCACATAATATATATCTATATCTGTGTGTGTGTGTGTATTTGCAAGTTAATTTACAAATTAAACCATTTTTGAGTTGTTAAAAGAAACTAAAATGTTCTTTTTCTAAGTTTTAACAACTCATTTTTTAATTATTTAATGGTTGAGATTTTAATTACATCTAATTAATTATATACATTTATAAATAAATAAATAAGAAGAGAGAGGGAGAGAGATGAGATGTGCACAACTTTGCTCTCAAAGGTCTAAGAGCATCACTGTCGAAAGAAAAAAAACAGTCTAAGGGCTCGTTTAGTTTGTTGATTTAAATTTTTAATTCGAGTTTATATATGACTTTATGTGAGAGCTTTATACTATAATAAAAAAATTTGATGTGACTGTTTCTGAGAATTCTTTACTGTTGCAAAACTTGAATTTTAAACTCAAATCGATGAAATAAACGAGACATAAGAGTATTTACATTGCGGCACCAAATTAGTGTGCCAACTGCCAATTTCTTACTTTAGCATTTGCGTATAACAATCATTATCTAATCTAGTTTTTTTTTTTTCAACTGAATTTAACATGTGATATATTCATTATCGCATTTGGTACCAAGTATAACACATGTTAAATTTTAACATTTAATTATGATTGACTAATGTAATGACATTTTAATTTAATCACTGTAATATTATATTTATTTTTGCCTCATTTTAAAGTTAAAAATTTATTTTTATAAATTTCAAAACTTAATAATTACGATACAAAATGTATATAATCTTTAAATAACATTATACATTTAAAAACAAAACAAAATAACATATGAATTATGTCACTTCTCACGTCTTTTACTATCGTACATAATATCAATATTGACATTTTGCATTATAAATTGTTTAAAAAAGGCATGTATACATGTCATCAGTCATATCAATTTCTACGTCTTTGGGCATTAATTTTTGGTTGTGGGGTACTTTGATTTGCATATCAAGTGATCGAGCATTTTTGTGAGTCGTGACATGCAAAAGTTAGGTACACATCAATTTTCACCAATTATCTTGTTTCCTCTGTTTTTTTGGTGATATCGTCACCCAACTTAGGAATTGATTGATCGTCCGACAATAATGAAGTGGAGTCCATCGTTAATGAACTCGAATGTATCTTTGGCAAAAGAAGTTACAATACAAATTAAAAAAAGAAAGTGTTATCCCTATTGTTTGGTAAGTTTCTAATGAATTTAATAAAAATCACATAATATTAAAAAAGTATACATAATAAATAAATTTTGATATAGATTTATTGTGCGTTTAGAAGAGAAATTCGTATCATAATTCAAATCATAATTAGATACTCGCTATTATAGTTATAAATCTATGAACCAAACGTCCACACTGATGATTGAAATTAAAAAGTTTGTAATAATTAATTTTTTTTTAAAACATAAAAAAAAACTCTCGTGTATTAAAAGTCTGTTTAGTTCGTTGATTCGAGTTTTTAATTTAAATTAAAATATAATTTTATATAAAAAAATTTTATTGTAATAAAAAAATTAAATATGATTATTTTTAAAATTTTTTAATATAATAAATTTTAACGGATTTAGAAACTCCCATGTTTTTTACTTTTTGAGTAAGAAAGATCGAGAGAAATCATAGATCTTTGTTTGTGTCCGTCTCTTCGCAGATCTCTAGGAAATGCTTTATGTGTCATAGATAGGACAGTTTACCTAAGGGATTATGAGACGGCATTTATGACTAATTTCATTTGTTAAAGTTTATTAAAAGGAGGTTGGTTTAAAAATTCGTTTGTCATTGTTTAAATTATAATTTTAAATTTATTAATTAATCATCTTTAATTTTTTAAATTTTCTGTTAAACACGTATGTAGGTCCCGTTCATTTCACTGATTCGAATTTAGAATTTGAGTTTTATTACAGTATAAAGTTCTCACAAACAATCACATTTAATTTTTTTGTTACAGTAAAAAGCTCTTATATAAAATTACATCTCAACTCGAATTAAAAATTTGAATCAACGAACTAAACGGGCCCGTAATCTTCGAACTACGCTTGGGTAGTTGGAACAAAAACACAAGATCCCTATTATTTAAAAGATTATTTTTTACACTTGCTAGGTCCTATGCTACGTTGAAAGTATACGTACTTTTTTTTTCTCTCATGTTAATAAGACTATCAAAATTACATTTAAAACAAAAAAATAATAATTAAAACTAATAGAATCTAATACGCATCTTGAGATTCAAAATAAAACACTACTGATTAGATATCTTTCATATCCTATCATAAAAATATCATGAGACTTATAGATCATTACGATTGTCACAAATAAAAAGAGCATAATACAACAACTACAACTAACTACTGACTAAATTTAATCGCGATGATACATGCATAAGATTTTGTTTTATTGATAAGATATTTTTTTTTTCATGAACTACCTTGAAATTCTTTTTTTTTTAAAGGGTTAGAGATATTAGGTTGCATAGTAAATTATGATCGACATTCAATCTTGTTTAAAATGAAAAAAAAAAAAAAAAAAGTGAGAAATTTCATTTTCAGAAGTGACCCAAATTGAGCTGATCTTTTCCATTACATGGGTGTGTTGCCAATGTCATAATTCATGAATCAAATATTTAGGTGAAATGGGGCACAAGAAAAAGAAAGGGGAAGATCTTTTTATTTTATTTTTTTTTTCTTTGGGTGCCTTTTCTTTTCTTTTCTCGGAAAAGAGAAGAGGAAAAAATCGGAAAAAAAAAAACTATTTGACCTTTCAAACCGCGAATCGTCAACAACAGTACTAGAGAGTAATGCTAACATAAATCAGAATTCTAGAAAGCAATCGAAAGCAACGAATATCCAAAATCACAAAAAAAAAAAAAAAAAAAATGTTACCAAAAGTGGAGAGCGGAATTTAAGGCATATATTCCGCTCCATTTTTTTAGCAAAAATAAGATCATATAAATATATATATATATATATATCTGTGAGCTAATATATTTTTACTGAACCAAAATGACAGAACTAGGGACAAATTTAATTTTGAAACAGGTAATTTATCTTCAGAAACTGAAAATATTCTCTTGTCAAAAAAAAAAAAAAAAGAAAAACAACAAAAAAAGGATGTTGAAGATGTTCTTCCCTTGAATGTACAGAAACTCTTACTAGCCTACTAAACATAAAAGTTGTTTACCAGTACAAATTCCTTTTCTTTCTTTTGTATATATTCTTTTTTTTTTTCAAATTGTTTACCAGTACAAATTCTTTTTCTTTCTTTTGTATATATTCTTTTTTTTTTCAATTTTATTGTCACCGCAGTCATTTTCTTAATTAATTATCGTATGTAGTAGAATTCTCTCAAAGTCTTGTAACAAAAATAGGGGATGTTCGGTTGGAAAATTTAAACTACGATTTGAATTATAGTTCATGATTCGTTACAGTATTTTCTTTTATAAAAAATACACATAAATTAAAAATAATTTTAATCACATGATTTTAATCTATGAACTAAATAAATAAATTTTCTTTGGAGCTTCAAATTTTTTCCACCTACACGCTGATAAGTTATTAAGATAAAATATATATGATTTTAACGTGAAAGATGCACTAAAATTAAAAGCCAAAACTGAGCTATCATCAGGGGAGGAGGAGATTAGGTAAATACTAACCAATTGGATACGCAAAGTAAATGATAGATTTCACCAAAAACATCAGTAACGACGATCACCATTTACAAAAAATTTTCCCCTGTTTTATAACAACTAAAGTGAGAAATTGAATAAATTCAACACTTGTCTTTTAACATTATAATTATGTACACCGCAAAACAACTCCAGTAACTAGTACAGAGGCACCGCAATCGGAAATCTCGACAGCTTCACCGGCGGCTTTGGCACATCGACGACGACCTTGTCGTCTCGCGGAGGCTCGCACGGGCACGGCAATGCAATGAACTTCGGCACGTTGTCTCCAGGCATCAACACCGGCACGCTCTGCCTCTGATTGGCCTTCAAATCCTGAAACACGCGCGAAAAAAAAAAAAAAAAAAAAAAAAAACAGAGAGAGTTAATTTTCGTACTCTCTGATGTGATTTGACGATTTAAATTATTTTTTACACAGAACGTATTCGGGAAAAGAGCTGTATTTTACCGTATTTGGAGATTTATTTTTAGACGGGCCTTGTTCGAGGTCCGCTGAGTCGGCGTCGTAGGATCTACGGAGCGATCTGAGCTTCTCCCAGTGGTAGCAGCAGGAGAAGATGCCGCTGAGGCTGAAGATGATGATGAGGAGCAGGGCCGTGCCGAGGGGGAACCCGAGGGACGGCCGAGATGCATCGACGTGTGGCGGCGAGAAATCCGGGCTCTCCATAGCTACTGCTGCCGATTCTTCTCCTTAAATCTTCTTCCGGAACTCGGATTTGAATTCGGATTTAGATTTCGACTCGAATTCCTTCCTTCTTCTCCTCTTCCTCGTCTCATATGTGTTTGAAAGAGGAAATGAAATTGGAGAGGAAAGTTTTGGGCTCCAATATATATATTTTTTTTTTTTTTTTAATCTTTGTTGGGGCAGTTTGGAGGGGGGGAGAAAATGGGGGATTTATAAACTTGAAAAATTTCGGACAGGTGGGTACGTGGAAAGGTACGCCTAATGTCCGGGCCATGGTACGGAAACAGGGTGGGTCCCACTTGCTTTGTGACTTTAAGAGTGGAAGCTTTTGCTTTTGATTTGCTTGCTGCGAATTATGCCCTTCTTCAATAACAATTTGCTCAAGAAAGAACCGAAAAAAAAAAATGAGAAATTGGGTTTGTGGTTCTTTACAATTTTTTGTTTTTTGTTTTTTTTTTTCTGTGTTTGAGATCCTCAATGTGAAAGGGAAAAATTGAAAATGCCGATTAGCTGGCGGTTTTTATTGGGCTTCACTTGTTTTGTGGCTTTTGTTTGCAAGTTTTTGCTTCTCTTTTCTATGTTGTGTTGAAAACTTGTTATTTGTTATCATTTTATGCGCACATAAAGTATGAATTGTCTAATATATTCCTTTGTTGTTGTTTTTTTTTTTTTAATTTATTATTTTATCACATCTGTTTGTAGCGAAATACTGTTGTCGGAGGCCCTACAGTGACTGGGATTTCCTTTCTGTGCGGCCATACTTAATATATATATTTTTTTTTTTTTTTTAATCTTTGTTGGGGCAGTTTGGAGGGGGGGAGAAAATGGGGGATTTATAAACTTGAAAAATTTCGGACAGGTGGGTACGTGGAAAGGTACGCCTAATGTCCGGGCCATGGTACGGAAACAGGGTGGGTCCCACTTGCTTTGTGACTTTAAGAGTGGAAGCTTTTGCTTTTGATTTGCTTGCTGCGAATTATGCCCTTCTTCAATAACAATTTGCTCAAGAAAGAACCGAAAAAAAAAAATGAGAAATTGGGTTTGTGGTTCTTTACAATTTTTTGTTTTTTGTTTTTTTTTTTCTGTGTTTGAGATCCTCAATGTGAAAGGGAAAAATTGAAAATGCCGATTAGCTGGCGGTTTTTATTGGGCTTCACTTGTTTTGTGGCTTTTGTTTGCAAGTTTTTGCTTCTCTTTTCTATGTTGTGTTGAAAACTTGTTATTTGTTATCATTTTATGCGCACATAAAGTATGAATTGTCTAATATATTCCTTTGTTGTTGTTTTTTTTTTTTTAATTTATTATTTTATCACATCTGTTTGTAGCGAAATACTGTTGTCGGAGGCCCTACAGTGACTGGGATTTCCTTTCTGTGCGGCCATACTTATCATCACAATATCACATCAGTTTAGATCTTTAAAAAAAAAAAAAAATGATGCTCAAAGATGTTGAGCTTCCTCATGCTGACGATATTCATCTTTAGTTGGCTTTTTTTTTTTTTTTTTTTAAATTTTTTTTTGCACTTTTGGTTTTGGCAGAGTAGGGGAGAGAAATTACAAAGGTTGGTGGAGTGGTGAGGTCTCCAATTGTGAGGTGGTTAAGTTATTTAGCTCTTTCTCATGCCAAGATGGTTCACCCAATAAAAGCTAGGTTTAGAGCCCATCAACCTCAAAAGAAGGTAAAGACTAGTTTTATTTCCATCAATGAAACTAGTAATGACGACCAAAAATTAACTAATGCAGATCGTAAGGTATAAAAAACAGTAGAATGCTAACTACACTCGCGAGTAGTGTGCGTAAGTACAAGGTATGGGCCCATTGTACATAAATCGACGATACATATCTTGCACTTAGCATTTTTCTACCACAAGCACAATAAAACTTCTGAGTTCCAACCATTTGAGCTAGTAAAGAATATAAATGTCTCTATTTATGTGTATTTCTAGTCTAAAGAAAGAATCAAAGACAATTAGGATATAGCAATATATATTCTTAGGACTTTAGCTAGCAATTTATTGGCATTGATTGTAAAAATTCAAAAACCGGTACATTTAACAACTTGTGTTTATGAATAAAAAATATATCTATCTATACGTATTTATCATCAGTGTTACAACAAGTGTTATAACACTCTTTATGATATCGACTGAAAAAACGAACATTTCATATATATGTGTGTGTGTGTGTGTGTGTTCAAGTTGGGCAGCGGATGATAGCCACAAGTCTTATTTTACGTACAACTTGAAGCATATGGACGGAGGAAAACAGCACAGCCCATCCCCAGTTAGGCATGTCCCATGCACAGGAGTTATGGATGGTCTGGCCCAACTCATTTATTTTCCTCTCTCATAGTTCATACTTCTTATTTTCTTTCTTCCTTTTTTTTTTTTCTTTTTTTTTTTACCCGCCTCTTTCTTTTCTTGTCCGTAAACTTTTGTGTTGCGTATTTGAACAAATATGTCTAATTACTCACATTTTTCTTTAGCACCTTTTTCAAACGATACTTTCAAAGGTGTGTTCTTGCATTCTAAATAAAACTAGCTCCAAATCTTACTTTCTTTTGGCATATTAGGCAAAAAATGATAGGAGTGTGTATTCGCAAATCTTGCAGCTTTTCAAAGCAAAGTATTAATTACTTGTGTGACATTGTTTCATTCCATGTATTTAGTTCCTTGATTTTTCACTAAAACATGCTTCTAACGACATTAACTCAGAATCAGTGTTTAGTTTAAATGGTTATGATTCAAGATTTGAATCCTGATGTGATATTTTAAATCAGAATCGCCCATAATTTTAAAATCACATCTCCTTTAATTTTGGGTGGTTCAAACTCCTAATTCTGGTTCTAATTTTATAACCATGATTTAGACTCAAAATCATGAATTATAGTTATAATTATAATTTTAAATTAAAATTACCATATGAATCCTCATATAGTCATATTAAACAAAACTTAAGTGTTGTGAAGTCTGAGCGAGAAACACAAGAAAGTGTGAGAGAAAATGAAGTTCATGCATCAAACAAGCACCGACCGTAACTTGTGGTGATGATTTCTTGGTAGTCAAAGAGAGTATTGATTGATGGCAACATATATGTAATGGTTGTTATCTTAGAAGATACGCCGTGTGGAATTCAAATTTGAAACGCTTCACTAACACTTCACTTTATTTATTTATTTTATTTTACTTCAAATAAAAACAAAGTTGAAGTCCTCTCCAGTAGTTTCTTATACGACTCGGACTTCTCCGGTAAATGCCCGTTTGGATTCACTTAAAAAAAAGAGTTTGTTTTTAGTTTATTTAGTTTAAAAGTTATTTTTGAATCTATTTGGATGATCAATTTTTTAAACTATTTTTAACTTTTTTAAACATTTTTAGAATAAGTTATCTCCTTAATACTTATGAAAAAAGTGCTTATGAAAATCTTTTTATTTACATTTTTAATCTTTTATTTGTGAATAACAAATTAAATATCTCATTTATATCCTTTTATTACATTACTTTTTATAACAAGAAGTGTTTTTGATTTTTGTACTCAAACAAATTCAAAAGCTCTTTATATATATAAAAACACTTTTCCAAGCACTATCTAAACACTAATTAAAAAGCCTAAACTTACACTTATCTTATTCTACTACTTGAAAACACAAGCTATTCCAAACAAGTCCTAAGTTTTTAACGATCTGATTTGTGAGTATTCATAATAGAAATTTATAGCACGCGACACAAGATTACTTCTACTCACATATCAAATAGTTAAAAAAGCTAATCTAATAACTAAAATAATAGTTCCTAATGATGTGATAAAATAACAGCTAGTTCTCTCAATTTGAAACTCAAATGACAAGTTCCCTTTTACCATGATTATAGCCCAGTTAATTAATCATGAAATCACAACACCCTATTGCATAGGATTAAAAACTGTGGATCAACAAAATAATATAATTAATCAAAAAATTGCATGAAATTCACGACGCTTTACAACGTGATACATGTTCATTAAAGTTCAGAATATTGGAATCATTGAAAAACTTGTAAATTTCCCTTTGAATTTTTCAAACCAATTACGCAACTAAATTCAATTGGCACTTCTCTAGCAAACTTATAACTAGGTTGGCTCAATGGTCCAATGAAATTCTACTGGCTCTGTAGAATACGTCTGTCCTTCTGTACTTCCACAAACACATAGTATCATCTGTACCTTTTAAGATTTACAAATTAGAAAGTTCATAATGCCAAACTATGAGTCACTTTCATATCCTTTGTTGGGGACCTTTAAGGATCTTATACTTCCCAACAAGGGCGCGTACCATTCTCTCTTCTAAATATTCTGATTTATTCTTATGAGAATTCTTATAGAAAATTTGTGACTATATTGGAATTGTCGCTTCACAACCATTCCGACGAAAAAATCGATAATTAACCCCTAATGGAAATAAACTAGAGATTCAGAAACTATATATGGTCATTTTTGCTATTAAATTTTAGATCAATAGCAAACTCAATTGGAAGGATTAATGGATTATTTACAATACTCCTGTGTACCTCCACAAATTACAAAATTATATCTTTTCTAGCGTGTTGAGATTTAACAATATCAAAAGATCATAATGCCAAACAGTGAGTCACTTTCATATCCTTTGTTGGGGAGCTTCTTAAAAATCTTATATATGCATGCAAACATTCGAAAGTAACCTATATGTGTGTATAAATATATATATATATATATACATATATATATATATATCAAATAATATTAGTTATTATTATTTGTCTTTATTTTAGTAAGGGTAGGATAGTCTTTTCATTTATTTTCCAAGCTTATATAAACTTTATTTTCTGATGTATTTTGATTTAATGAGAAACCCTAACATCATTTCTCCTCAAAATTGTTTGTAGATTCACATGGTATTTCCGTAATTGGTTTTAGTAATAAGTCACTTGCAGTCTTGGATTGCGGTTCCTCCTCCCGCTCCTCCTGTACGTATTCATAAGTCCACTCAATTGCCAGATTTTACTTACTCTTGTTGTTTGAGCTCATTTGTTTCCTTTTTGGCTTCTATTCATCGCATATTTGAGCCTTTGTCCTATAGAGAGGCAATTTGTGATCCAATTTGGCAGCAGGCTATGGCTGAGGAACTTACTGCACTGCACCAGACACATACTTAGGATTTAGTACCTCTTTCAGCAGTTAAACGAGCGATTGGTTCTCGTTGGGTTTATAAAATCAAAACAAAGTCTTATGGGTCGATTGAAAGATACAAAGCTTGGTTGGTTACTAAGGGATATTCTTAGGAGTATGGTATGGATTACGACGAGACTTTCGTTCTTGTTGCAAAAATGACTATAGTTCGCACCTTTATTGCAGTTGCTTCTATTCGATGCTATCACATATCTCAGATGGATGTTAAAAATGCCTTCTTGAATGGTGACCTTCAAGAAGAAGTGATAACTCCGCCAGGCGTTTCTCATCAACATGGTGAAGTTTGCAGGCTTAGAAAAGTTGTTTAGGTCTCAAGCAGGCATCTCAAGCTTGGTTTGTGAAGTTTTCTACAATGATTACTTCGCTTGGGTTTCATCCTAGCCATCATGAATCAATCTTATTTATCAAATGTGCCACCGCTAGTTGTATTCCACTTTCTCTATATGTTGATGATATGGTTATTATTGGTGATGATGTTGATAGGATTGCAGCACTAAAGTCTGAGTTAGCTCGTTGTTTTGCAATGAAGGATTTGGGCACGCTACGTTACTTTTTGGGCATTGAGATCGCCTCCTCTCTGAAAGTTTATCTTCTCTCACAGTCTAAGTATATAACTGACATATTTGAGTGTGTTTGTCTTACTGATAATAAGACTATTGATACACCTCATGAAGTTAATGCTCGGTATTCTTCTGTTGAGGGTTCTCCTTTGCCAGATCCTAGCTTATACCGTACTGCTGTTGGTATCTTAGTTTATCTCACCATCACTCAACCAGATATTGCACATGTTGTTCATGTGTTGGTCAATTTGTTACTTCACCTACTGCCTTTCATTGGTCCATTGTTCTTTGTATTTTGAGGTATCTTCGTGGTACTCAGTTTCAAATTCTTTTACTTCCATCTACTTCATCCTTAGAGCTACATGCATACTCTGATGCTGACTGAGCTAGTGATCCCACAGATTGTAAGTCTACCACTCGTTTTTGTGTGTTTCTGGGTGACTCTCTCATATCTTGAAAGAGCAAGAAGCAAGATGTTGTTTCTAGATCTTTTACAGAGGCAAAGTATCGCGCTATGGCTTCTACCGCTTATGAGATAGTTTGGTTACGTTGGTTACTTACAAATATGGGTGTTTTTCCTCATCAACCTACTCCATTATATTGTGACAATAAGAGTGCTATTCAGATTGTTCGCAATTAAATTTTGAATTAGCAGACCAAACATATTGAAATTGATTGTCATGTTACTCGACATCATCTTCAAGTTTGCACTCTCACGTTACGTTTCGTTCCTTCTAATATGCAGATAGCTGACTTGTTTACAAAGTCGCACTCCATTTCGCATTTTTGTTTCTTATCTAACAAACTCTCGATGCTTGTTAAAGCCGCATCATGAGTTTGAAGAGGATGTTAAATAGTATTAGTTATTATTATTTGTCTTTAATTTAGTAAGGGTAGGATAGTCTTTTCATTTATTTTGCAAGCATATATCAAATTTATTTTCTTATGTATTTTGATTAATGAGAAACCCTAGCATCTTTTCTTTCCAAAATTGTTTGTAGATTCACAATATATATATATATATATATATATATATATATTACAATTCTAGTTGCTTCCTACGAAGGTTACTTAACAATTCTGCTTTTTCTTGTCCCCCAATTTAGATTCTTCTCCACTAGATCAACAATTTCTAAGTAGCTTCCCAAAACATTGATCTTATCCTCGATAAAAAGTAGTAATTCCAAACATGGATGTAGAATAAAACTATGAAACATCACACCAATATGGGGACACAAAGGTGGGCAGATCCTTAGAAAATTTACAAAACAAAAGATAAGAGCGAGTTAATTAAAATAAGAACAAAAACCATCATAATCATTGCAAATGGTGGCGTTAGTTTTAGACTTTTTTGCCATGGTGGTAATAGGAATCTGTATCTTTCCCATCAGTTTATGTGTTGAAATCGTGTTTTTGCTTTTCTTAATTTTTTTTATCTGTTATATTCTGTTCTGGGACCATTCCGACCTGTATTACTTATCCAATGTAGGAAAACCTAGCCAGCTATCTGCAGTATACTGTAGCTCAGTATCCAATATCCATTAGCTCTGTGTGTGTGTATCATTATCCATTAAGTTTGGTTCATAAATTAGAATTATGATATTATAATTATTTTTTATTTACGTGTATTTTTTATAAGAAAAAACACTATAATAAATTATGATTTATGATTTAAATTATGATATGAATTTTTTTACTAAACGTCTTCTGAATAATTGTGAAGTGTTACGATAAGATTTTCTTAAAAAATGGAAAGAATAATAACAAAAAGGAGGAAATTATTACAGAATATATATTGAACGTACGACTTAAAACGTAATATATTACTGACACACATTCGTGGGATGTTCAAATTTTAACTTTGTTATTTATATAGATATAGATATAGATATAGATGGATTTCTATCTAGTAGCTACCGCTTAAGAGGAAAATTTTAAGGGCTGATATATTGTACCATGTAACATCACTTTCGAAGGCTCAACCTCAACTTCCTCACCTTTTTTTTTTAGGTTATTGTTTGTTTGAGGAATGCATGTATGCATCTAGTTAATTAGTACTTTCGTAAGTAACGGGTGACTTTTTCTTTTTCTTTTTTTTTTTCCTCGTGGGTTTTCTATATATATATATATGTGTGTGTATATATTGGACTTACAAGGACATATAGGTTATGGTTCTCCATACGTCGAATCATTCGGCCGCTTTCTCTTTTATTTTATCTAGAGAGAAACACCTTATTAAGGACTTCAGAGATTTAATTGAAGAAGATAATAACTAATTAAGTTCTTAGAATTTATGAATATGCTGATTAAAATCATATTTATAATTGAAGACTAATAATTGGTTACGTTGTACTTGAATGAAAAATCATGTATGATGAGTAACGGTATTGACCAAAAACACCACAAAAAATGTGATAATTCGTTCATTTCACCGATTTGAGTTTTATTACAGTAAAAAGCTCTCAGAAACAGTCACATCTATAACTTTTTTACTACAATAAAAAGTTCTCACATAAAGTCACATCTCAACTCAAATTAAAAATTTAAATCAACAAACTAAACAAACCTGTAATGGCTGACATCGAACGTCAAATGATAGTCGTTTAGTCTGTAGTTTCACAGCTCACCCGTTGATCAATGAATTGAAACCAACTGTTTCCTCCTTGATTTTTGTCCTTCCTAGCCAACGTTCCTGGCTTCTTTGCCTTGTCGTCGTTATTCCTCTTCCTCATGTTAATCTCCAACGATAAAACTATATAGAGATGACTTTTCTCTTATTGTATTTAACATATATCATGAGAGATTAAATTAGGGATTTGAAGGATTTAAGTTTCCTCATTTAAATTTCCTCACCCAATCCATTCTTTTGTTTTTTTTTTTCTCTCTTACCAATCAACTATAGGTACCCCAAGTATTTCTACAAATTCCCCACAACTCTACCTCATTATACTTTTCTTCCTACCAAATAAAAAATTAAAGAGTGCGTTTGGAATTGGTTTCAAAATGATTTTATTTTTTATATGAAATTAGAAATGAAAACATTTTTAATCTCAGACAGACAATCATTTCTAAAAATACATTTAGTAATTTTATTAAGAGATTGTTTTCAGTTTAAGAAAAAACTAAAACTCCGTTTAGTTATATAATTTTCACTCACCTGCCCAACAAAAAAAGGGCATCTGCCCAAAGAAATGGAAACAAAAAATGAAAAATAACTTCAAATCGTTTTCATTTTCTAAGTGACTTTACACTAAACTAAAAAATAAAATTATTTTCAGTTTTCTTATCTTTTTTTCTCCAAACACGTTTTCCCTTTTAATCTCATTTTTTCGTCTTGAAAAATGTAAAAAACAAAAATGGAATTGATTCCAAACATGCGCAGAAAGTTTCTAATTTTCTTAAATCGAATAAAAAAGTGGAAGTGAAAAAATGAACAAGTGCCTTTGCCTTCGGTGGTGGGTCAAGTAGTAACAAATGGAGCACTAATGCTAACATTTGGGCCGAAAAGAATGTCTTCAGCCCAGAAGTCTGTTTCCTTAAAAATAGGCTAATATGAAAAGCTTAAAAAAGTATATAAATTAATTTTTAGTTATAAAAATTAATAGGCTATAATTTGTTAAATTATGGTTCATAATCATATAAGTTATGGACAAATTTGTCAAGTTATGATTCATAGCCAGACAAATTATTGACAAAAACTGTGAATTATAAACAATAACTTGTCAAGTTATGATTCATAACCAACTAAATTATGGACGAAAATAGTAATTTAACCTATTTATTAATTTATATAAACTATTAATCTATTAATTTAAATTCATCTAAAATCTTGACATATTTCTCTCTTTCTCGCTTGGTTAAACAACAACTACTTCAGACTTTAGGCCTTCTCAAAGACAAAGACTTACACCTAGGTGATAGGTCCACGGGCCATTTTTATACAAAGTGAAAAGCCCAAGTGTAATTCTGATTTGAGTTGGGATTTTGGACACATTGCCTGGTTAGGTTCTCCGGGAGTAGGAGTACCACATCTAATAATTGCTGAAAAAAAAAAAAAAAACTAATTTGTCAGATTAAAAAATTAAGATCTCGTTCATTTCACCGATTTAAGTTTTCAATTTTAGGTTTCTACAGTTAAAAATTCTCAGAAAATGTCACATTTAACTTTTTCTTTTACAGTGAAAAACTCTCAGAAAATGTTATATCTCAACTCGAATTGAAAACTTGAATTCGCAAAGTGAACGAGACCTAACAGCCTTTTCTTTTTAAGTTAAATAAGTTGTATTAATCAATAATAGCTACATTGGCACTAACAAAAGCAACAATGCAATTAGAAAACTCCTCTAACTAATAACTATCTTCATCTAACAAAAACGACAACTTCACTAGTGTGTGGCCAGCCCCATTACTACAATCGAAAATGTGACTATAAAAACCATTGTTAACTTCATCCATCAAGATTTTGATATCATTTCAAATTGAAAACTTGTTGAATCACTCTCAACAAGGGAGACTCTCCACGGGTCATTGTCCTTCGCGAAAAGTAACCCCACCCTACTAGTCAATCAACCATTCTGCAACAAAAGCAGAGAATTTCCCAAACAACAATTTTGAAAAGGCAGTGAAAGATAAGTCCTCCAAACACCACTATAGCTTCCATGTGGTGAAACAGAGGCCTCCACAAATACTTCAAAATCATCTTTTTTTCAACACCTAAAGCAGGCGTGAGATAAAGATAATTCCATTCCATTTTCTGCACCCAAAATTATTAATTCGTAAGTCCATTGAGCCTAATCGTATGGCATGCCATGTAAAAAAATTTTGAGTGCATTTGAAAATTTTCTGTATGAAAATGAAAACGACGTTTTCATTTTCATTTTGAAATCATTTTTAAAAATGCATTTGATAGTTAAATTCTGATATTATTTTCAGTTTTAAAAAAAAAAATTGAAACTGTATTTAGTGATTTAATTGTTAAAAATATGTAATAATATTTAAAATAATAATAAATAGTATTTTAAATTATCCAACAAACAAAATCCAACTTTCTCAGCTAACAGCAATCCCTCTCTAATGGCGAAGCATTCAGCTACGAAACGAGAAAAAGTAGCATCCATTATCTTGGCTATATAAAGCATGGAAATTTGACGACCACTTGAGCCCAGTAAGCCTTCACGATGATTCATAGCTAGCTTATATCCCGATCTGACCGAGTCCATTCCTTTGGAGTCAGAGTGCCAAACAAGTTGACCATGGCAAAAACCTTGACTCAACGGGATACCCAGAATGATCTCATGATCAATCGGCCAGAAAACAAGCTTCAATAAAAGGTTATATTCCATTCCCTGTTAAGGATAAGATCCTCAACCTTCAAATCCATGGCAAAATTAGGCCGCTTAGTAATAGGCAAGAACGATCTTGGTCTAGGCAACCATGGATCCCGGAAAATATTATGCTTTGGACGGTGGCTGAAAACATTTTGCAGGTCACCCAAACCCGGATTTCCCATATCTCCAAAGGATCAAATGAGGGGCAATAACATCTCTCCTCTTCTCTCTCTATCTCGACAAAATCTCTTTATCCCCTCTATATCTCTCTGTTCACCCCCTTTCCCTCTCCCGTCGGCACAACCCCCTCTTTCTCCTCGACCCAAATCCGGCGAGCCAACTCCGCTGTCACCAGATCCGGCAAGCCAACTCCGCAACGCCAAAATCCGACGAGCCAAGCTTCGCCACTCCCAGATCCCGACGAGCCCAGCTCTGCCACGTCCAGATCCTGAAGAGCCCAGGCCCTAATCACGTCACAATCGCGCCGAATCCAGTCAGAATTTCGGAT